TTTCTTAAACATCTAAGAGAACATTATATTCTGAAATAATAAAACCAAATGGGTTACAAAGCTTTTCAAGAAGAGTATGTTTTTAGGCCTGCTATTACTTCACCAATAAAAAGAGCAGAAATGTAAGGGACTGTATATTTTCATTTAATAATAAACCACATGGCAAAACAACACTTTAATAAATGTATAGGAAATTACAATTTGAAAATTGTGAATACAGTACATACACATATACATATACTTTGATCTTAATTACATGGACAAATCCCAGCTTCAAAGTCTTTCAAAATCAGTCATATGCAAAATACCTGGTTTCTGAAGGGGCATATGGAAAAGTATATACAATTTCTTAAATTGTGATATGGCTTATTTAATAACATATATTTACTTAGAGAAGCACAAGCTTTCCAAATATACAGTATCTTCCAGGTAGAAAGCTGACATACCAGCACATCTCAGTTTTCAATTATTTCAGTATATACTTAATTGTAATATTTAAGTTGACACTGTCATATATTTAACTGGGAAAGTCTCCACTAATGTTTTCCAATCTTACCAGAAGTCAGAAAATGTTCGTTGGTCCTTACATTATGAAGAGCAGGTTCAACCCTTTGTAAGTGAGAACTCAATGACTAGCTGGCCTGAGTGCACACACATAATTCAATACTGAGGAATTCCTGTAATTTCTCCTCTCCAATTTGCACGCTCCCACCAACATCACAAACGATATATTGGACTGGCAGTCAGAAAAACAAATCTGAAGCCTTGGATGACAGGATTCACATGAAAGATCTGGAGTCAGGTTTTGCAAATGGCATTTTGGCTACAGAGACAGCAAGTTTCATCAATTATTTGGAGGTCAGACTTGCCTCCCCTTAACACAGCATATATAGCGAGGTATGTTCATTTATGACTATTACCCGACTAGCTCATGAACTCAGCTTAGTTCAAAGACAAATGGAATCAAATGAATTAATCTTGTATCTGGGAACACATTCTGTACCTTTAAATTTACTACATACAAGCTAGAGTCAATAGCAAAACTGCCTAAAACCTTATTTCAAAGGGTTCAAATTCTGTTAGAAAACCTTATTCATTCTTTGAACTAATTATGCATAAAAAGTAAATAAATTTAGCTAACGGTACCTGTTTCAGAATCAAATGATTAACTTTACAAAATTGTGAGAGTGGTTATTTGGGAAACATGACCCAGAGTCCCATTGGCAATGCTCTTCACTCACGGTTGCACGAGTCTCTTTCTGCCACACTTACTCTACAAAGTTCCATGTGCAGAGAAATCTAGATCTAGGAATAAGCCACTATTTAAAAAGATTCTCTCCCACCTGGAAAAACATTTCTAAGTGGTACCTTGTCTCTGAAAAATGGTTTTTCTTCACAAAATGAGAGAGAAGCTCATGTGTTTGATGTTGATCATGTCTATTTTGGGGAAATTCTACAAGAGATAAATAAACACTGTCTACTGGGACATCTGGGTTCAAGAGATAAAATACTGAGACTCATAAGAGCAGAACATTCAGTTTTTGAGAATGGAAATAAAGCACCCAGAGTTGATAAGTAAACAGTAAAATAAGAAATCCAGTGATTTGGCAAACAAAGTAGAAACTATAAGTTGTGAAAATCTGTGCTATTACATAAAGCGTAGATAATGGAAGTAAATGTAGAGCTGGGCTCGGTGGCTCAGCCTGTAATCTGGGAGGCTGAGGTGAGTGGATTGCCTGAGCCCACGGGTTTGAGACCCTCTGGGCAACTTGGCGAGACCTCAACTCTACAATAAATAAAAAAATTAGCCGGGTGTGGTAGCGCGCAACTGTAGTTCCAGCTACTTGGAAGGCTGAGGCGGAAGGATCGCCAGAGCACAGCAGGTTGAGGCTGCGGTGGCCGGGAGCGACCACTGCACTCCAGTCTGGGAGACAGAGTGAGACTTCAACTCAAAAAAAAAAAAAAGAATGTAGGAATTACAACAGTTTCTAGTTCTGCATATGAAAGTCCTCTGAAATATGCTTTATTCAACTACATTCCTACCACATCTCTAAGGCAGCATGAGTCTTAGTGAAACAATAGGTCTTTTCCTAAAAAAAAACTGAAAGGTTGCATCTGGCCAGAGTTGTGTGACATACAGGTTTATGTACACATGTAACTGATTATTTGCAAATACTAATTAAAATACATCACACTGAAGAACTGCCAAGTTTTTATGTTGTGATCTGGGTATGTTTTCCCAGTGCAAAATTAACAATGCTATGTGTTTGTCCAACTCAGCCACTGCTTTCCACAGGGCAACAGAGAGCTCTCTGAGAGCTAAGTTGAGAAGTATAACACATGGTCATATCTCAGCTCGTGAAGGATAGACCAAATGCTCTTGGTCAGACGTGTACAGTCATATCTGCTAAATTAATGTCCTTCTCTATGGGTTTTGTCAAGTTATAAAAAGTGAAATCAGGCTGGGCGGAGTGGCTCACACCTGTAATCCCAGTACTTTGGGAGGTGGAAGCAAGAAGATTGCTTGAGTCCAGGGGTTCGAAACCAGCTCGGGCAACTTGGCAAAACCTGTCTCTACAATAAATCAAAAAACTAGCTGAGCATGGTGGCATGAGCCTGTGGTTCCAGCTACTTGGAAGGCTGGGGTGGAAGGATCACCTGAGCCCAGTAGGTTGGAGCTGTGGTAGCCGTGAGTGCGCCACTGCACTCCAACCTGGGTGACAAAGTGAGATTCCTACGCAAAAACAGAGAAAAAAATCAGTTCTCAAATCTCATAGGCCTAATAAAGTACAAATACAAAATCTATATTTCTTGCTATCAAAAAAAGCACAGGAAATGTCCTCACTTTAAGCAGAACACGATATTTAAGATTTGCAAAAGTTTTCAGTGTTTCTGTATTTTACAAAAGGATGCCTTTCAATCCTCAAATGAATTTTAGACTGTTTTATCAAATAACTTTTTAAGGAACAGGGGAATATGAAGTTTCAGATATGCCTTTATAAGATAAGAACATTTATAAGAAACAAACCCAATAAATATGAGAAACATATTGTTTTCTTTCTCTTGCCAGATCCCCCAAATCTGTAAATGTCCAGGTATCCACTGAAATACTACTCATTTATTCTTATTTGCCTTCTATGTGTAATATTTTGATTTAAATAGTTTATATGCTCTTGGAATTTTTGAGAAATTCAAATAATTTTAAATGACTTCACAATAAGAATCCCATAAAAGTGTATTTTCAATTCAATTCAACAAATGCCTACTGGGTTTTATTAAATACCATCAGTCCTTTTATTGATACCCTTAACTCCCAACAATCTTTTAGGTAAATCCAGATTTTCTTATCTTAGGTTTACTTATGGTGAGATATTTGGTAAGAAAATAAAATCTGTTTAATATTCTTCATTTATATTGTAAGTCACCTGCATGCCTATCTAGAATTTAAAATCACAACTTGCTTGGTACCTTGTTACTCTACTCTGATTCTCTGAGGAGTCCAGGAACCATATCCATTCTTGGTGTAAGATACTGTCCCAGCTGAAAAGGGGACTCCTGATGTGCATAAAGATAATCTCAGAACCAGTGGTTGCAAAATGAAATATGAATAAGCAAAGCCACATCTTTAAAATAGGCATTTTTAATTAAGTTACCTTCAGTTTGGAAACTTCTATGTTTAGTTTTCCTATAACCCAGTTTTAATGTTCATACTTTCCCAATACTTTAAAAGCACACATAGGCCAAAACCTTTTATATTTCTGTTTACTCAAAGTAGTATCTTCCCCCCACCAAGAAGGACATTTCTGCTTGGTATCATCGGAAAACCTCAAAATTATATTGTAGAGTTTCTGGAGTCAACGGAGAATCTCTAACCCATATCATAAAACAAAAATTCTAAGTAATGTCAGTAATTTACATGTGAGAGTAAGGAATTACAAACTCAACTTTAGCCCTCTAAAATTTTACCCTGAAAGGCACACAGATCATCTGGTGTAGAGGCAGGAACCAAGATACCAAGCTTTTTGTAGGAATTGTTGGCAGTTATTAAAGGGAGAAAGATCACTGCTTACATTCTGCTGCCTCTTGATGGTTTATTTATTTTTATTTTTTGTAGAAACAAGATTTTGCTATATTGTCCAGGCTGGTCATGAACACCTGGTCTCAAGCGATTCTCCCACCTTGGTATCCCAAAATGCTGAGGTTACAGGTGTGAGCACCTGGCCTGTCCTTGCTGTTTTTAAGACAATTCCATGAACAATAAAAGTGATTTCAGGAAGGCATAAATCTGAAACTCCACACCCCATCCTTGCTCTTTTGTTTTAAATCATCACATAATAATTTGAGCTTAAGACTAACTTCTGCCATTCAGAATATATTGAAACATGTCCTAAATAATTTAATGACAGTGACCATATTATGTAAAGATTTGGTTCTAAGATTCTAAATAATCAAAAATGTTAACTTTGAGATTCAAAACCCTGTAGTATCTGGAAAAAGTTGTCTATAAAGTATAACCATAACAATAACAATAAGACTTATTTGTTAAAGAAAACATTTCTGAAACACTTAGGAATACATGCTTATTCCACTCTCTGGATAATTACTAGTACTTTCTGAAGTCTCTTGAGAAACTATTTCTGTAAAAACAGAGCAGCAATTCCAGAAGCTGGGTGTCAAGATTACATAATAAAAAAATTCAGTTTTCCAGCACTGGCTTCATATAAAATGGCCTTTAAAAAGTATTTTTAAATGCAAATACTGAATTCTTAGTGCCTCCTTTACGACATGTACTCTGTCAAATTAATGAAGTATGGTCTTGGATTGTCTTCCATGAGGTATCTGTAGAGTCATGTCTCATTCTGTAAACAGCGTTTTGAAAACATCTCCATCTGAAAATCATGAAGTCTCATTTTACCATTAAACAGAGACTAGCACTGTCGGGCTGGGGTGACTGTTCGAGAGATCAGTTCTTTATATGGACACAGCTGTCAGGGATCCCATTTTCTCATTTAGGTTTGCATTTATTGCTCTCAGGTCTATAACTGCAGGGTACGTAAGGCAGTAGTCCCCAGAGAATACAATATTAGGGACTGGAATTCTGACAATTTGCACAAGTTCTGTCTGCTTCTTGCCTGTAACTCTGAAGCTGAATAGTACATCTATACATGCCGAATGTGTTCAATAATAAATGGTTTGCTTTTGACTGTACTTCCTCCCATTTAGATGAGCTTCCAGGAACTGCAATGTCAAAAAAAAATTATTACTTTTCATTGTACATAGTTACATATTAGTGAATAAGATACAGGTGAAAAAAAAAACCAGCTTATTTACTGTGAGCATATGTTTATTAGTCTGATTTCTACCTCTCTATGCCATTCTATTAGAGAAGTGTGTCAATTTACACATCCCATTATTCCAATCTCTCCAGTCTACTCTCAGGTAAAGAAAGAATACTAGACATCGATTATAAGCCTGTAATTAAAAGGTCTTATGTACTTACTTACTTTTATTTATTTATTTGAGTCAAAGTCTCACTCTGTCTCCCAGGCTGGAGTGCAGCTATTATGCACTTTAAAACTAAACCACACGGCTTGGCGTAGTGGCTCATGCTTATAATCCCAGCACTTTGAGAGGTGGAGGTGAGAGGAATGCCTGCACCCAGGGGTTTGCAACCAGCCTGGGCAACTCGGTGAGTGGTGTCATGTGCTTGCTGTTCCAGCTACTTGGAAGATTGAGACAGAAGGATCGCCTGAGTTCAGCAGGTGGAGGCTGCAGTAGCCATGACTCTGCCACTGCACTCCAACCTGGGTGACAGAGTGAGATTCTGACTCAAAAATAAAATAAACCGTGTGCATGTGTACTTTAGATAAAAATAAAATAAAAAGCATCAATCAGTGAAATAACTTAAAGAACTAAAAAAACATAAGCATCTAGCTTTTCCTATGCAGAAAAGGACATGAAAAATATACTTAATGTCTTTAATCTGAAGATAAAAATCATTTGGTAATATTGCAAAGGGAAAGTTATTATTCTGGTATCAATATTAACCTGTGACTTACGTTTTCAAGAGCCTTACTCCTCCCTTAAAACAAATCTTTTCAGTAGTAAAGTATTCCTACTTAATTATAAGCATAGATGTTTAGTTTTAAAGATGGAAATCCACCAACCCCAGGCCCACATTTGCTATCAGCAACATACTTAGCTGTATGTGAACTATGGCAGTAGATTTTCCTGAAGTGAGAGACCAGATATTTAAATCTTCTACTGAATATACATCTTCTATTTTCATCAAGGCTTCTTTGATATAGTCTACATTCAAATGGCTTGGTACACCTATTAGTTAGGAATATATAACTTATAAGTAAAGATTATTTTGGAGAAAAATAGAAGTTTTATATTACTGATAAGATTTTTCTCAAAGAAAACATGACTTTGCCAAATCAGTTTAAACAAATACTTTAAACTATATTAACATTTCAAGATAAACCATACACATACATATTTTTACTAAGAATGCAGGATATATACAAGAGGCTAATACATGCTTTTTAAAATGTTCATTCTCACTAGAAATGCCAATCAAACCAGAATACTTCACTTAACAGATAAGCTCGGACAGACAAAAAAAGAAAAAGAAAGTGAAGAACAGCCACTGATGATAAACCCATTGTTGAGGATTTTTATTTTCATGCTTACACATAGTAACAGCAAGGCAAAGATGTCATAAATAAAGTCACAAGTTAAGTAAGACTTAAGAAACTAATAAATAAACCACTAAACATAATTCCAATAAGAATCAAAAGAGTTGCCTTCTTATCCTAGCTCTACAGTTTATTAGCAGCATGACCTTAACCAAGACATGTTATCTCTCTGAACCTCAATTTTTTTTCTTGTTTGTGAGTGGGGATAATTTGCTCCACTGTCTGCCTTACCTACTTTTTTTTTAGTTATTTTAAAGTCACGTGGGTAAGAGACAGGAGAGTGCATTGATCCTTATATGTTATATATGTGTAAGGTAGTGTTATACGCATATAACCTAGTAAGTATCAGCAGAAAGCAAAAGATGTAGATCTTATCCAGTGTCCCCCCCAACTCCCAATCTGATTTCAGGGCATATTAGTGAGTTCTTACCTTCTAGTATTATAACTACTGTATCCCATATGATGCGAAATGTTGTAAAAGCCACAAGTAATGAAAATACGTATGTACAGATGGGATCAGCAATCTTGTATTCTGGCTAAAAGATAATAGATCAAAGCTTATAATTAAATATAGACATATTAAACAGACTATAAAGCAAAACAAGGCATGAGTCCCATATTCTTTGACTTTCTTTAGTAGTACCAGAGAATACCTTTAAAACATGGATACTGTAATTAGAAAACATCTTCATTCTTTCCTACATTGTTTAAAGGACTTTCCTCATGGGATTTATTTCCAGGCATTTAATCGCTTGTTTTATTGTTGCCTTCTCTACATTTTCTATCCAGAATCATAGAATATCAGAGCTGGAGGGACTTTTGTTTTGTGTGTGATTTTTTTGGAATTCTAACTAGTAGTTTGGTGACAAGGTTTCAAACTGAGTTCTCCAGTGAAAGTACTATCAAAGCCAACTACAGGCAAGTTAGCCCGTGAGTGAGGTGATAACCATTGTTTTTACTGCTAATAAAAGAGCTATACTGATGGGTAATTAAGTTTATATCAATGCAAAATGAAGAAAACTAGCTTTCATGCCCAGCATACTGATAAAAGACAATCAATCAGCTTTAGTTTTTATTTTTTAATTTTGTAATTTATTTATTATAAAGTTGTAGGGTACAAGTGAGGACTTACTATATAAACAGGCTGCATGCAGGTGAAGTTTGGGCTTCTAGGTGGCCCTCACTCCTCCTGGTAGTCGACCAGGTATCCTTTGTGTTGTCACCCGCCCCCCCATCCTTCCCTCCCTCCCCTAGCAGTGCCCAGCAACTGCCGATCCCACCCTTGTGTTAATGTGACTAGTGATCACTTATAAGTGAGAACACTCAGTATTCAGTTCTTTGTTTCTGTGATAGTTTACTTAGTATGATGGTCTCCAATCAGCTTTAATGTTGAAATGAGATACATTTTAAAATAGAAAAATCTGCAATCATATTACCTTGAATCGTATGATGTATGCAGCAATTAGCACACCAACACTCTGTACCAAATCCCCCAAAGCATGTACAAATGCAGCTCTCACTGCCAGGCTATCCTGCCCATGCCTGTGTCCACACCCAGAACCTGTTGTAGGAGAATTTGAAGGCAGGGAGTGGGAATGGGAGTGATGGTGACCAGACTGGTTCAACAGAAACCCCATTCTGTTCAAAAGAAAAGAAAACATTATTATTTTTCCTAATGTTATGGATAAAAATGTGTTACTAGTCAGACACTGAGGTAAGATGGAAGGCATTTATTTATATTTGAGCTCCTGTTATTTATCAGGTACTGTTCTAGGTGCTGGTCAACCCAGTGAATAAGACAGACATATCCCTACCCCCATGGAGCTTGAGCTTATGTTCTAATAGAGAAGGCAGAGGAACAAACAAATATATAATATAGAGCCAGGCAATGTAAAATGCTTTAAAGAAACATAAAGCATTGATGGGGAAAGTAGTCAAAGAAGGCCTCTCTTAGATTCCACCTGAGCAAAGACCTGAAGGAAGTCAGGGAGAAAGTGCTGGAAGAGTCTTCCAGGCAGAATAGCAGGGCAAAGGCCCTAAGATGAAAATGTGTTCCATGCACTTGAAAAAACAAGACAGCCATTGTGGCCAGAATACAGGAGCAGAGGTGCTAGGAGATGAGTTGGAGTTAACAAGACACACGGTCTTATTAACAAGGATATGGTAAAAGCTTAATATTATTCCAAGTACGAATAGAAGCCACTAGGGCAAGGATTGGTAACTATGGCCATTAGACCATATGTAGTTCACTGATTTTTTTTGTATATAAAGTTTTGTTGGAACACAGCCATGTTCATTTGTGTACATACTGAGTGAGGTTGCTTTGGTTTATAACAGCAGAGTTAAGTAGTAGTGAAAGACTATATAGCTCTCAAAGCCTAAAAATATTTACTCTTTTGTCCTTTACCGAAAAAGTTTCCTGAGTCCCCGGTCTAAATAATTACATATATAACATAAACACTTGGCAGTTTTTAAGAACAAAAACTGGTAGTTAAAAAAAAAAATCTAACACAAAAGTATTCTAAAAGTTAAGCAATAACAAAAAACTTTTTCCTACTTAAATTAACGACTGTTGGTCAAAAATCAATATACCTGAGCAAACTAATGAGGAACTTATAATACCCAAAGATTTTCATTTATAAGAAAAGTTAATGCTCTATGTAATTTTGAAAACATGAAGATGTCACTGCACATTACTGAAACCATGTGCAATATTCTTTAAGTTCACAGTACTTGAAAATATTAATGTAAAAAATATAGAGCTTACATTACATTAACTGCAACTCCAACAGCTGCGGTGATGAGCATTATATCTCCATTTATTTCATAGTTCATATGGATAGTTCTTTGCACAGCTTCATATAAGAGGAATCCCATAAGTATATACACCAAAAGCACACTAATCATAGCTGACAAAACCTCTAGAAGGAAAAATATATATAACAAATATATTTTCTGCAAGGTTATTACACATCATACCAACTAAATATCACATAGTCATTCATTTATATTTTGCTGAGTATGGTGGCTCTTTGGGAAGCCAAGGGGGAGGATTGCTTGAAGCTAAAGTTTGAGACCAGCCTGGGCCACACAAGAACCTATCTCCTCAAAAGATCAAAAGAAAAAATTATCCAGGTGTGGGGGTACACATCTGTAGTCCTAGCTACTGGGGAGGCTGAGCTAGGAGAATTTCTTGAGCCCAGGAGTTCGAGACTGCAGTGAGCTAGAACTGCAGTGAGCTAGAATTGCACCGCTTCACTCCAACCTGGGTGAAACAATGAGACATCTCCACCAACTGTCTCTAAAAATAAATTTTAAAAATTTATATTTTCTTTCTTCTAAGGCAATAAAGCACTGTATGATTTTTGTCATGACATTTTTCTAATTTAAAAAGTATGTAGCAGTTTCACTGATCTGGATCCTCCACTAATTCATCCCCACCATGACCCACCCTCACCCATATCTCTTTAGGGTCAAATTACTCTGTGTGTGTGTGTGTGTGTATTTATTTATAGAGCATGCACAGGTAAAAAAATGACAAAATGAGAAAAAATATTTGTAACATATGTGACCACAGACTAATTTCCTGATTTAAAAAAGTACACTTAAAAATCAATAACAAGCTGGGTGTGGTGGCTCATGCCTGTAACCCCAACACTTTGGGAAGCAGAGGCAAGAGGACTGCCTGAGTCCAGGAGTCCGAGACCAGTCTGGGTAACTCGGCGAGACCTCATCTCTACAATAAATCAAAAAAATTAGCTGGGCGTGGTGGCACGCGCCTGTGGTTCCAGCTACTTAGAAGGCTGAGGCAGAAGGACTGTCTGAGCCCATCAGGTTGAGGCTGCGGAGGCCGTGAGTATGCCACTGCACTCCAGCCTGGGCGACAGAATGAGAACTGCAAATTTTCAAAATCAATCATAAGAAAATTCAAATAAGAATATTTCTTTTCCCTCTACTAAATTGACAAAAATTAAAATGTTTGAGAATAGCCAGAGTTAGCAAGAATATACTGGTAGAAGTATCAAATGGTATTAGCTTTCTGGACAATCAATTAATAAAACAAATAAAAATTTAAAATGCATATATTCCTTGATCTCAAAATTCTACTTCTAGGAATCTACCTGAGAAAAACACCTTCATGTGTGCAAAGAAGACATCTTTGCATACATGGAGATATAAGGCTTTTCACTATAGCATTGTCTGTAGTATCAAAAAAATCATCTGGAGACATCTTAAATGTCCACCAAAGAGAAATTCAACAAATTAGGATATATACATATGTAGTGGGGATACCATACAGTCATTTATTTTTTAAAAAAGGGAACCCCCCCAAACTTAGGCAAATTACTAATCACAAATGGGACTAAAAGCTTAGGGGATTTACTGTTCACTCTATTCTTTTCTGTGATACTTTAAGTGTTTTACATTTTTATCATAAACACTATATTACCTTTAGACTAAGGAAAATAAAAATGTTAAGATATGCAATTACTCAATGTACCTTGACACAGGATTCCTCTTCTAGGAATGATATAAATACTCATGCTAACGAGTTAAAAGGAGGTATGTTCTGAGACTATTCATCAAGTGTTGTATATAATAGGAAAGATTGGAAACAACCTAAAAAAGTGATTAGTAGGGACCTTGTAACATGGAATACTATGCAGCTGTTTTAAAAAAGCTTATTCTGATAAGGAATAATCTCCAAGGCATAGTGTTATGTGAAAAAAAAGAGCAAAGTACACAACTGTGTATGATACCTTATTACTTGTATAAAAATAAAGAGATGGATATACAAATAATCACCTGTTAAATGCAATCTCTGGGAGGATTACACAAAATATTCATAAAACAGTGGTTATCTTTGGGTGAGGACAATTGGTGGCTGGGAGGCAGGGCTGACTTTGCACTATATATGCTTTTACCATCTGAATGTTCTGTGTGAATATAAAGCAAAAATAATTTTATATATTTTCAAAATAATAAAGGGCAATACATTTAAAAATATGCAACATTATTATATAAAACAAATGTTGACCTCAAACAATAAAAGCAATAAAATAATGTAAAGAAAAACCTTTTCTTTAGAGAAAACTAACATTAATCCAGTGACGTGTTAAAAGGTAAAACAATCTGGAATACTGTTATCTGGGATTAAGCACATTGCTCAAAGGTGTCAGGCAGCTCAAGTATAGTGGACTTTGATACATTTTCATTCCAATTTATAAATTACAACACAGAAAAATTATCTAGCAGTTACAAGCTATTTCCCAAAGACAATTAAGGCAGCCAAAACTTCCTTTTTATTTTTATTTGAGTAGGAGTCTCACTGTTTCACCTAGGCTGGAGTTCAGTGGCACACTCACAGCCACCACAGCCTTGACCTGCTGGACTCAGGTGATCCTTTCGCCTCAGTCTTCCAAGTAGCTGGAACCACAGGAGCACACCACCTGTGATTTATTGTAGAGACAAGGTCTCACCAAGTTTCCCAGGCTGGTTTCAAAACCCCGGACTCAGGCAATCCTCTTGCCTCTGTCTCCCAAAGTGCTGGGATTACAGGCATGAGCCCCGTGCCCGGCCAGTCAAAACTTCTATTGCTGACATACAGGAAATTATACTTTGAAAGAGATATAAGAGCTGAAGACAGAGAAAAGATCAGCTGAAATATGCAAAGCTATGGAGAAACTTCCATATTAAGTACAGACCATAAACTCTGAGGATTCAAACCAAGTCTTATTCCATGTCATATTTACTGTAGCACTTAGCAGACTAAGTTATATAGCAGGTACTCAAATACTTATGGATGAATTTGTAGAATGAAGTTGGTCAAAGATTGGGCAAAGAAAGATGACAAAAGGCTATACAACTTAAGAAAGTTAAGCCAAATATTAATTTGGTCATTAACTAACCAAATCCCCAAAAACAAGAAGTTAAAGGAGAAGGTTTAAGTCAAGTAAAAACACGTGACATTTCTTAAGCTATACCTGCTGATGGTAAAATACACATACATAAATAATATAAAGAAGAAATGATTTTTAAAAAATTTAAACTGTAATGTCTCATGTCACTAGTGGGAGAACTTTAATCAAGTATAAAGGTTGAAACTGGTAATTAGGCCGACATAGTTGTTTTAGGTGCCTTAATCAAATTTTTAATAAAATGTGCAATTTTTATAAGATCACTTGGGTCTTTTCACTCAGCAGAAATACAAATAAATGTTTAAGGTCAGTGATCGAATAAAAACTAAAATACACCCTGAAGTTCACATACAAAGAATAAACAGTTTGAATGACTAATAAAGGTTAAGGAAAAAATTAAACAGGAGAAAACATAGATGATTATCAAGTTTTATAGTACTATAAAATAGAAAAACTGCTTATTGCACATTTTGAAGCATCAATAAATTGCCAAAACAAGAGGTTCAAGGTTTATATAAAAGCACTGGAGTTCTTCTCTGTCACCCTTTGTTATTCTCCATCATGGTACCTTATTCTTTCTTTTCACAGCATTTATTACAATTTATGATTAAATTAGCATTTGTGTATATATTTATTGCCTGTCTTCCCAGTCTATACTAATATTCATTGATTCAACAAGTAACTATTGGGCATCCATTTAGTGAATGAATAGCAATTTGTTTCAAATATGTAAGCCACACATAACCCTTTATTTTCATAGGCTTTTATACCATCTGAATGTTCTGCGTGACTATAAAGCAAAATGTACTAGCCTTAACTGTTGACACTTTGCTAATGCTATGATGCCAATAATGAGTATACTTCACTTAAATTATATAATACTTGTCTTTCTGCTGCCTTGAAGAACTATATATAGCAAACATCTAAAGACAGGTTTCAGAGGTTTATAAAAATGAATGGGGAAGGCAATGGAGATATATTCTTCTACTTCCTTTTGTACTACTTCTCCTTTCAATCTTTTTCCAGTAGAAGGTAGGAAGGAAAAAAAGGAAGTGGACTATATTGGATTAGCCTAAGACTTCCAAACTGGTACAGGGTAAGCAACTCTATCTAATTTGAAAATCCAAAATCCTAAATGCTCCAAAATCTGAAACCTCTTGAACACCGACACGACGTTTGAAGGACAGCATTTTGTATTTTGGATTAAGGATATTCAACCTGTATTTGTATTTTAACTTGGCCACAGAGAACCCCACTGCTCTCAGGCTAAAGACATCATAAGATTTTCAACGGCCCACTGTTATAACTAGAATGCCAAGCTGAACCAGAACGCTTTGATTCAGAATCCAAATTTGATATCCAGTGCTCAATTCTTAATCAAAAGGAATCCTCCCAAAGTCAACATAAGTTTTTTCTTCCAGTATTTCTGCCATTACTTCAAAGAGTAGAATAAGTGAAATAAGATATATATGTATATAAAATTTTGGAATCTAGAAAAGAAAAAAGAAGGTCCCAAAAGGCTCTCAGTGTGAAGCTTGAGTATCTCCACAGCTCTGGAAATACTCACCTATCTATATCTTTAACAATTCTCTCCCTTTTCCTTTTATTTTTTAGATCACTTTTAAGAGTTGAGATAAAATTCAAATAAGATAAGCTTCATAATTTTAATCATTTTATTTTATTTTATTTTTGAGTCAGAGACTCACTCTGTTGTCTAGGCTGGAGTGCAGTGGCACAGTCACAGCCATTGCAGCCTCAACCTGCTGGGCTCCGGAGATCCTTCCGCTTCAGCCTTCCAAGTAGCTAGAACTACAGGCACGCACCACCACATCCAGCTAATATTTCTGATTTATTGATGAGGTCTTGCCAAGTTGCCCAGGCTGGTCTTGAACCTGTGGGCTCAGGCAATCCTCTTGCCTCTGCCTCCCAAAGTGCTGGAATTTCAGGAGTGAGCCACTGTGCCCAATTCATTTTACTCATTTTAAAGTGCATAATTCAGTGATTTTTAGTACATATACAAGATTGTGCAAACATCACTACTATCTAGTTTCAGAACACGCTTATCACCCCCAAAAGTAATACCATACTCATTAAATACTTTTTTATTTTTTAAGTTTGATTTTGGACTTCCTAGGGTTTTTTTTGACAGTTTTCAACTGTTTTTTTTTTTTGAGCAGGAGTCTCACTCTGTTGCCCAGGCTGGAGTACAGTGGCATGCTCATGGCCACAGCAGCCTTGACCTGTGGAGCTCAGGCAATCCTTCCACCTCAGCCTTCCAAGTAGCTGGAACTACAGGCGCATGCCACCACACCTGGCTAATTTTTTAAAAAAATTATTGTAGAGATGAGGTCTTGCCAAGTTGCCTAGGCTGGTCTTGAATCCCTGGGCTCAGGCAATCCTCTCATCTTGGCCTTCCAAAGTGCTGGAATTACAGGCTTAAGGCACTGCACCCGGTTCCTCCTTTCTTTTTAAATCACATCTTTTTGTTGTATAGTCTGGGAGACTTCCTTGACTATATTTTCTATTCCTCATGTTAAAAAAAATATTTTTAAAATCAGCAATATTTAAATGTCAAAGTACTTTTTCTTATATGTTTCCTTTTCAAAACATTTTTCTGTTTTATTATTCTGAGTATATATATATATTTTGAGTTGGAGTCTCACTCGGTCGCCCAGACTAGAGTGCAGTGGCCGCTCCCGGCCACCGCAGCCTCGCCTGCTGGGCTCCAGTGATCCTTCCGCTTCAGTCTTCCAAGTAGCCGGAATTACAGGCGTGCGCTACCATGCCCGGCTGATTTTTTGATTTACTGTAGAGATGAGGTCTTGCTGCCCAGGCGGGTCTCGAACCCGTGGGCTCAGGCAATCCACTCACCTCAGCCTCCCAAAGGCGCGGGATTACAGGCTGAGCCACCGAGCCCGGCTTATTCTGAGTATATTAATAAGACAATTTAAAAATTTTTCTCCTGTTCTTTAAGATACTCTCTTTCCTCTGGGGTTAATTTTTCTGTGAGTTCAGTTTTGGTCATTTTTTTCATGCTGCTGGTTTTTCTCATCTGCTGGAAGATTCTTGGTTGTTCATTCACATTTAGGGCAAAAGGACAAGGGAAACTATCCTTTGCGAAAAGAAAATGCTAGGACAGGCCAGGAAAAAATTAAAATGGTTTTTAATAAGGGGTGTAGGGCAGAGCAGGACAGTATATTACCTTAGGGTGAGTAAGTATAAGGCTGCAGAACTCTGAATTCTAGTAGGAAAAATACTTGTTTTGGAGCGTCAACAGTCACACTAATGCTCAGCTTTTCCTGACATTTTTGTTCAATTTCTCTCTAGAACTATCTGGTGTTTGACATGGGGGAAATGCAGGCTGCCTGAGTGGAGGTGGGAGTAAGAAGGGAGGCGGGGCATAGTGGAAGCACTAGGAAAAACTTCCCATTTATAGTCACTCAATTTATTTTCCCAGTTTTCAGCCTCAGTTCTCATTCCTGCTCATCTCCATCCCTGAGCCTTCTTTAGAGATCTGTTGGGCTGCCGCAGCTCCTGGTTGACAGTATATTCTAGGTTGTAGCTTCCTGGCTTGTTTTCTCTTTCGATCCACTCCTATCTACTTTCCAACTTCCAAAAATTTCTAGAAATTTCTTGTTTATTGGTGACCCAATCATGGTGTTTTGGGACTTCCATATTTTTATTTTATCGGATTCTCAAGAGGACAGGAATCAAATACTGATATCTAGTCCACCATCTTGGAACTTAGTACTTTTAAAGGAAAGGGGGCCAGGTGTAGTGGCTTCAGCACTTTATTTTAGGAGGCCAAAGTGGGAGGATTGCTTGAGCCTAGGAGTTCGAGACTAGCCTAGGCAAAACAGTAAAAAAAAAAAAAAAAAAAAAAAAGCTCGTCATGGCACATGCCTTTATTCCCAGGTATTCAGGATGTTGAAGCAGAAGAATTTCTTGAGCCCAGGAGGCCAAGGCTATGGTGAGCCGTGCCACTGCACTCCAGCCTGGGCAACAGAGTGAGACCCCCAATTCAGTAAAAAGAAAAGGGCAAGATTTGACTTTCTATAGAAACTTTCAGAGACACAATAGGACCAGTCAGTTCTATTTTCTCTCATCTTCACATAGTGCTTTGTTATTTATGAAGAAGTAAAGTGACTACTAGAACAAACACTAAGTACTTGTTTAATAATTTTCATGATGATGGGTTCTTTTTTTTTTTTTTGAGTTGGAGTCTCACTCTATCACTCAGACTGGAGTGCAGCGGCCGTTCCTGGCCACTGCAGCCTGGACCTGCTGGGCTCTGGCAATCCTTCCCCCTCAGCTTTCCAAATAGCTGGAACTACAGGTGCATGCTACCACACCCAGCTAATCTTGATTTAGGTAGAGATGAGTTCTCGCCAAGTTGCCCAGGCGGGTCTTGAACCCGCGGGCTCAGGCAATCCACTCACCTTGGCCTCCCAAAGCTCTGGAATTACCGGCTGAGCCACTGAGCCTGGCCGATGATGGGTTCATTTATGTGTACTATCTTCTATGTTCTGCTATTACATATTTGTGAGGGAAAGTTCTACTGTTTTCATCAGAATTCCAAGGGGTTGGCCGGGTGTGGTGGCTCACGCCTATAATCCCAGCACTTTGAGAGGCCAAGGTGAGAGGACTGCCTGAGCCCATGGTTCCAGACCAGCTTGGACAACATGCTGAGATCTCATCTCTACAATAAATCAAAAAATTAGCTGGGCATAGTGGCACGTGCCTGTAGTTCCTGATACTTGGAAGACTGAGGCAGAAGGATCACAGGAGCCCAGCAGGTCTAGGCTACGGTGGCTGTGACTGTGCCACTTCACTCCAGCTTGGGTGACAGAGTGAAACTCCAACTCAAAAAAAAAAAAAGAATTCCAAGGGGTTTATAACTTAAAAGAGGTTAAGACTAAATGAATGTACTCCCTCAAGTGTTAGAAATTAGAAATCCCAGACCAGGAGTGGTGGTTCATGCCTGTAATCCCAGCACTTTGGAAGGCTGAGGTGGGAGGAATGTTTGAGCCCAGAAGTTTGAGACCAACCTGGGCAACTTAGCGGGACCACAACTCCATAATAAATAAAAATTAGCCAGGCATGGTGATGCACACCTGAGGTTCCAGTCACTTGGAAGGCTGAGGTGGAATGATCATCTGAGTCCAGCAGGTCAAGGCTGCAGTAGCTGTGAGCGTGCCACTGCACTCCGGCCTGGGCAACAGAGTGAGACTCCGTTTAGAAAAAAAAAAATTCCAGCTACCTGGGAGGTGGAAGGATTGCCTGAGCCCAGGAGGGTAAAGCTGCAGTGAGCTGCGAGAATGAGAACCCGACTCAAAAAATCTAAAATAAATCCTCATTTCATGATGATACATATAAGTTTTAGATGTTAAACTGCAGGCACTTAAGTCACAAAAAAATTAACATTTGAAAATAATTTTACAGGTGTTAAAAAATTCCAAGTCATCCAATAAACAAATTCCTGTATAATATATTAGAAAGTAGTGAGGTTTCTTTTAGGAACAGATATAAACGCATTATGTGATAGCTTAACAAACAAAATAAAAATCTCACTTAGTGCATTAGTTTTCTTGAACAGTGGCTGAGAGTGCTCAGGGGAAGGAATGCCAATAATTTCCCAATGATGACCTGGAAAGCAACTTGAAATATTACTATTCAGGTAGTGTCAAATTTTGCATTAGAAGACTCAGTGACTTCAAAAAGACCTAAATGCTGAGTTAAGATTAGGCTAAAAAGTAACAAGGAAGAGAAGGAACTGACTGATTAACCAAGAGTGTCAGTAACTACCAGATGTTAACTTTAGTTCTTTGAGATGAGGTATGCGGGTGCTACTTAAATGTCAACTTTAGGGTTCTATGCAGATGACATCTGGTCATATGGCACATCACAAAATAGTTCATATAACTATTTTGTACATATTTTAAAAATAAGTAAACAATTTTTAAAAATTTTATTTATTTATTTTTTATAGTCAGAGTCTCAATCTGTCACCTAGGCTGGAGCACAGCAGCATAATCAAAGCTCACTACAGCCTTGACCTCCTGGGCTCAGGCAATCCTTCCACCTCAGCCTCCCAAGTAGCTGGGACAATAGGGCATGCCACCACACCTAGCTAATTTTTAAATTTTTTTTAGAGAGATGGTCTCACTATGTTGCCTAGGCTGGTCTTGAACTCCGGGGCTCAAGCAATCCTCCTGCCTCAGCCTCCCAGAGTGCTAGGATTAGAGGCAAGAGCCACCACAGCTGGCCAAAATAAGTAAATTTTAACATATAGTAATATGATAAGAAGCAGAGCTGTGTATATGTGGGACTGTAACTCTTCATAATTAAACATTAGTATCTGTTCAAAATAGGTAAATAAGAATATATGTATATTTTCAGAACTATATTGAAACAGTGGCTGCAAGTAAGTTAAGTCATACAGTATACAGTGTACATATTACAGTAGTGCTTAAAATCTTAAAATCTAAGCCGTGGTAACTTTGGTTGAAATACCTGAAGTGAAAGGCAGAAGTTAATGCTCATTAACAAATTAAACCCATGTGGTTTTGCTTGGTTCAATAAAATAAAAGTAAACACTTTTATGATGACATCTTCAGGTCATAGGGAACAACACTGGAAGGTAAATTGTAGTCATATAATTTTATATGTGTAAACTCTTTAGCTGACTGGGCTGAATGTATCCTGGAAGAGATGTTTTTGAATAAACCTTGTTTATATACTTTCATTTGCTTTGTTCAAACAAGATATCACTGGAAAGATTTCAATTACCCAGGGTTATAGTTCATTGTGGTTTTACTATAAAATATTATAAGTAAAAATGAATCCCAAATACTTACCTAATCGATGAAATCCAAAGGTGAATCTTTTGGTTGGTGATTTTGATGACAGCCACAAAGCTAGCAGGGTGAGTATGATGGCGCTTAGGTCAGTTAACATATGAAGTGCATCTGTCATGATTGCTAGGCTATTTGCAATGTATCCACCTTAGAGTAAGAGTGAGAGGGAAGAAGGGACAAGTCAAGTAAAAAAATGTAAGCAATGTAAGCAATCAAACTAGAAATAGGTAATATCCTACAAAACATGACCTTCTAACTAAATCTTTATCCTATTACAATTAAATCAAGGTATTCTGAAATTGTATGCAAAATATTAGATATATGTATATTTTTCTGGTGAGAATGGCCATTTCTATTAACAGAATCTCTGAGGAGTCAATGATATTAAAAAAGTTAAGAACCGCCGGGCTCGGTGGCTCGGCCTGTAATCCCGCGCCTTTGGGAGGCTGAGGTGAGTGGATTGCCTGAGCCCGCGGGTT